TATCATGATTTTTATCTCAATGCCTCATTTCATAATTCATCAAGGCATTTGACACATCTTCAAATTTCACAGTTTCTTTACCATGCATAATAGTGGTAACAAAATGCTCATAAGAGTCCGACAATGAATTCAACAATATTAAGGCCTTATCTTCATCCTTAATATCCTCATCTAAATTTAACAAGTCGGCAATCAACTTATTAAAATCATCAAGATGTCTAATCATTTTTGTACCTTCTTTGTATTGGAAGCGGTAGAGCTTTTTCTTCAAGTGTAGCCAGTTCTCTGCACTCATTGTCATATACTTGTCTTCTAATTTTTGCCACAACACACTTGCTAATGTCTCCCGCATCACAAAATACTTCTGAGTTTTTGCAAGGCACAACCGAATTGAAGAGCAAGCCCACAAATTTAATTTCTCCCATTCCGGCTTCGACATAGCTTCCGGCTTCTCTCCCAAAGCAGCAAGTAGATCTTGTTGAGCCAACACATCTTTGACCTCACATTGCCACATCCCGAAGTTGTTTGTGCCATCAAACTTTTCCACTTCGAACTTTGCATTTTGCACCGTAGTTCTTGCAAACCCGGAGCTGCTTCCAAAAGGATTTTCATCTTGCCCGTCTGACATCTTTGGCAACTAGACAGTACCCAAGAGCAACCAGTGCTCTGATACCAATTGTTGTGCTAGGATAGCACCAAACCTTTTAGGAACCAACTCAAGCTAACCCACAGGAAATATATCAAATGAAATGCAAGAACAAAATATTAAAGACACCAAGATTTTAACGAGGTTCCTCAACAGTCAGTGTAACTGGAGTACGTCCTCGGAGCAGTAGGAGCTCACCCAATAATCCACTATAAACCAAATGGAAGTTTACAAAGTGTTGGCAAGCTCACAACCCAAAACCCCAATACAACCAATAGCTCTCACACACCAAAGAAACAAATAGAGAGAAATATAATGAATAATTTCTTCTCTATACGAAGCTCAAAGCTAATACACAAATACAACTTTGATTGAGTGAGAACTAACCAAGAAAGAAAATCACCCTTCTTTCTTATATGGGAGCTGCGTACCTCACTTCTTCTTTATACTGCTCCCTCCTGCTTTCTTCTTCCATATGACGGCCTTTTTTTTTTTCACACCAAAAGGCAGCTGTTGCTGCTAGTTAAAAACCCTAGGAGTTCCGTGACTTCTCACATGGACCAAAGAAAAAACTTTAGACAAAGTGCACTTTTCTTTTCCCCAAAACAAGGAAGAAACATAATCATGTTGTCCTTTTTTTTTTCTTTTGATTTGTTTAATAGCCAAAAGCTTTTTTTGTTTTGTTCTCCACTTGGCCACTTGGCCACTTATTCAACAAGTTTCTTAACATAAATGCTGTAATTTTTTGTTTACCTATCACATTCTTCTATTTATTCTTTGCCCCAACAATATGATGCATAACAGAATAATTTAAATGTGTTAATATCAGTGTTATATTCCGAGACATAATTATTGTTGAGACATCCAACATAAAATATTATGCTTGATAACAGGATAAGAAAAACTATGATCTTTGTTCTGCAAGGAATGAGGACAGCCCTAACGAAAAGTTGATTGAAAGTTTGTGTTCTGAGCTGAATGAGTCTCAAACTAGATCAGTTCGGGCTTGTATTCGTAGTCTGTATATTGCCAACTCTTCTGTGGAACTTATTCAGGGTCCAGCTGGTACGGGAAAAACAAAAACAATCGCTACTTTGCTTTTTACACTGTTAAGAATGAGATGCAGGACTCTGACTTGTGCCCCAACAGAGGTTGCAATTATGGAAGTGGCTTCCATCTTTATGAAGATAGTGAATGGTGCAAAATCCAATGCTTTGTTTTGTCCGTTGGGAGAAATTCTTCTATTTGGGAATGAAGAGCGTTGGAAAGTTAGTCCAGAAATTGAAGAAATATGTTTAGATTACCATGTTGAAAGGCTTGCCAAATGCTTAGGACCAGAAGAGACTGGTTGGAGGCATTGCTTTGCTTCGATGATATATAGGTTTTCTTGAAGGTTGTGTTTCTCTGTACCACTACCACATTTCCTCAAAAAATGAGTCCACCAGAGAGAAAGAACAGGAAAATACTACTACTGAAATCGAAGAGAAAGAGAGCACAAGTGACGATGAAGTTAGCAAGGGGAAGTGCAAATCATTTCTTTAAATTTTCATTGAAATATTTGTTTCTACTGCATCACCACTGAGGGATTGTATCTTTGTCTTCTGTACCCATCTATCGACAAGTCACATTTTGCTACAAAATTTCCAAAACATGTCAGCGCTTATTTCCTCACTTGATTCTTTTGAATCATTGTTGCGTGATGGTAATGTTATATCTGAAGAACTGGAAAACCTTTCCTCCTGTCAGCAAGTTGCTGAAGATTTGTACATCCCGGAAGTTGCTGAGACAATGGATTACAAATCACTTCAACTTTGCATGAGGAGAAGCGAGTGCCTTTCTGTTCTGAAAGTGCCAATGGTGCCTCCCAACATTTTGTTTATCGAAGAAGCTGCACAGGTGAAAGAGTGTGAGCTCACCATACCGTTGCAACTTCAGGGTGTCAAGCATGCTATTCTTGTGGGTGTTGAATACCAGTTACCTGCTATAGTTAAAAGTAATGTATGTTAATGTTACTCATTTGTTTATTTCTATATACATCTATTTTTGTTCCGTACCTGTTATTTTTATGTATTCAATATCTATTTTCTTACCTTCTGTAGGTATCTGATGGAGCTGGCTTTTCAAGAAGCTTGTTGAGAGGCTAAGCTCTTTGGGTCACCCAAAACACGTACTTGATATGCAATACAGAATGCAACCGTCCGTAAGTTTGTTTCCAAATTATAAATTTTATCATAATCAGATAATGGATACTCCAAATGTAAAGAGAAGCTGCTATGAGAAAAGATTTCTTCCGGCAACAATGTATGGTCGTTATTCTTTTATAAATGTAATTGGTGGTCAAGCGGAAAAGGAAGGTGATAAACATAATCGGAAGAACATTGTCGAGGTGGCAATTGTTATGATAAACTTGATGGTTTCATAGTGAAGGTGAAGATAGTTGACGATTACCAGGGAGGGGAGGAGGACAATGTGCTTTGGATACTGGTCTCGAGTTCTTTCCATAAACATGTGAATGTGCTTGCAGAGGCTTTCGAAAAGATTGATAATACTTATAGTGATTGCGAGCTTTGGGGCTGATTGATCAAGCTTGTTATGGTCCGATGCAATATTTATCGACATGAAGGTCGAACACTGCAGAAAAGGGACACTGAGAAAACTGTTTCGGAAACTATCTGCTGTACAGGCTGCTGCACAAGGTTAGTTTGGAGCTATTGAAGCAGAGGCAGTGAATCTGAGGGAAATAGCAGCTGTGGGAAAGGACCTTAAGATCTTAATTTAATCCACTGTTATTTAAGATGTTGATAAATGTTTGTTTTGAGGATGGAGTTGCTTGCTCTTTAGTATGGAGGGTCACTTGGATTGTAGAAGCTATAACATTTTCTACCAAGAAAAGTATTTAGTGAAGATTTCTTCTGCAATCAAGTAAAAATAAATAAAAATTAGCTAGGTTGGAATTGCTATATGAGCAATAAACATTAAATAACTTCAACTATGGGAATGTGGATTCGAACTTGAATGTACAAAGCGATTACGTTGCTGTAGCCAGTTTAGTTAAACTCAATTTAGCTAATAAGCTCATATCTGCAATTGTTGAAGGTTCAGAAACCCAACAAATGTTCTTATATATTAACAAAAAATGCTACTAGGAAGAAAATTATTAAGGTCTCATTTCCAAAGATAAAATTGCATTTTGGGGTTTAATTATTTTGTCTTATTCTTCTCTCTGGGAGGCAATATATACACAAATTATATAGTTGATTAGGGATGCAAGAAAATTCCTCACAACAAGGAAATCCTAACTAATAAGGGAATTATAATTAAATAATAATTAAAATAGTTGAGTTAGGCCAACATCCAATGTATCGGAAAGTTCAAGTTAAGTCTGAGAGGTTGTTCATGTTGTTAAGTGTCAAGTTTTGCAGAAGAGGCATTTAGATTGGAGTGCTTAAGAACATTTACTATTAAACACATGAGACTCTAGGTTTGATTCTCCTCTTACTATCGCTATATATGAAGAAAAGTTTACCATAAGAGAACACAAACAATCAATTGGTATATAGGAAGTAGCTTGACACCTTACAAGCCTATGCAATGTCATTTTTCTATCAATATGAGATGTATTCTCAACACGTTCATTCAGATTGAAACTTTTTTAACAGGATAATTTAGAAGCTGTTAGCGGATGAACTTCATATATGGAATAACCTTGTTATGATATCATATTAACATGAAGAGAGAAGCTGACAAGATAGAAGAGAGAGAGAACAAAAACTGATTGTATAGATTGATAGAATTCGTTAGACCTGGTGGATACAGTAGAATATGTAATCCCAACTGTCATACAATAACGGCATTTTCGCTGCTAACAAACCCAAGAACATTCCAATAAAAAACAACAAAATCGTTAGACACGTGGCGCAATCCTGACAGCCATCTATGTCCAGCGTGGCATCCAGTTCCACTCAAACTGGACACGTGTAAATCAGCCTGATTCGGAATTTAGACAATAGAGAGAGGGGCCCACCTGATTTCATTTCCCGCCTAACGCTAGTCCCAAACAAACCCTCCCCTGTTTTGGGTTCTCTGATCAAGCCCTCCTCTCTCTCTCTCTCTCTCTCTCTCTCTCTCATCCGTTCCTCTTCTCCGATCACTCTTTATTAACTGAATTACCGAAAACCCAAGATTAATTTGTTAGTTATAATCTGCCATTGGTCTCATCGTTTTGGTACAAACTTTCTTCTACTCCGTTCTTCTTCTTCTTCGTTCTTCCTTCTTCTTCATCATCTTCATTCTTCGCTCTTCGTTCTTTGTTCTTCTTCTTCTTTGAAGAAAGTTAGTTAGTACAATAATTAACATGGGTACCATCTCAAATATATCCCCGGATACCCTTGTGCTCATCATCTCCCTCTTGCCCTTTAAAGAAGCCGCAAGAACCTGTCTTCTGTCCAAGGGTTGGCGTAACCTTTGGCATAGTGCCGTACTCAACGTCGAGTTCAACGAGCGTCTCCATGTTGTTGCAGCAGAACCAGCACAGAGAGAGATCCAGAGACAAGATTTCCTCAATTCTGTGCGGCGCTATATTGCACGTGCAAACAATGAACAAATCAATGTGAACAAGTTTCATCTGGTATCAAGTTTGTCTCAAGATTCCCGAGTGATTGCAGATGAAGGCGTCGATTTTTCAGTCCAGCGTAGCGTCAAACACCTGGTGATCGATTTTTCCGACGCCGCATGGAATGAAGACAGGTTCGAGATTGATGAGTGGGCAGCCGCATGGACGTATGTTTTGCCTGAGCATTTCTATTGTTTGAATCCAGTTCTTGAATCCTTGACTCTGATTTCTTGCAACTTCAATATCCCACGACTCAAGAATTTCCATCTGCTAAAGGAAATTTCTTTGGCTTGGATTGAGTTCCCGGACACTAATCTGCACAAGCTGTTGGTCAACTGTGTGGTGCTTGAAAGTCTGAGCCTTAAGAATTGTTGGGACTTGGACAGACTCGACGTTTGCGGAGACAATTTGAAGCTACGAAGCCTCGTGGTTGATCGCTGCTGGTATCGTCTTTTGGACGAGTTTCGTATTATGGTACCAAATTTGATGTATTTCAAGTATGCTGGTTTCTGTGCCCCCCTGTTCAAGGTAAGGAACACTGGAAGAGTGCAAGTGCTAGATATCGACTTTGGGCTTGACGAGAATTGTGGGCCGGAATTAGGTGATTCTGTCTACGATCTCCTTCACAAACTTTGCTCCATCAGCACATTGACAGTTTGCACTTACACGCTTCAGGTACTTATCGATTTCCCATATTTTTTCCCTTTTCATTGTCCTTTTGGATATACGAGCGATATTTGGGAAGGGAGTAATCAAACATATGACTTCGAATGTTTCATATTAGGGTTTTACATGTCAATGTCATATCATCAAACGAAAACAAGTTCTTTAAATTTCGAAGCAACCCTATTAGCGGTATATGATTAATCATCGATGTATCTAGTCTTTTTCTTCAGTTGTTTATCTACTTGTTCTTCTTTTGATGCTGTTTTTTTTTGCAGGTTATTTCCATGGGAAAGGACCCAATTGGTGTGGAAAATCCTTTGAGCGTGACAAGCTTGACACTGAAAACTGCAATGCACAGCTTTGAGATTTTGGGCATCAATTTTTTCTTGTGTAGCTGTCCTCGTTTGGAGATTCTTGATATCGTCATACGCCCAGGAAGAATTTTTTATGATGTGAGTACTCGATCGTAATTAGTGTCTTTAAATTAGCTTTGATGACAATAATCATGTATTATCGTCTTCCTGTTTTTGTGGTTTTTTTCTTTCAGAAATATAGACTTCCTCAATATGAACAGCGGAATCCTGCGACGGTGTGGACGAGAGATGGTGCCGTTGACCAATGCGTAACCGAAACGCTAAGGAGGGTTCGAGTAACGGGTTTCAAGGGGACACCAAATGAGATGACTATGCTCGACTATCTGATTAAAAATGGCCGTGTCATGCAAAATCTCCGTGTCATTATCTCGAGGGAACTCGACGATGGTGGAAGCCCAGATACGTACGACCTCAGAGCTCAAGATTTGCTTACTATAAGAAGAGCCTCACCAGATCTGCAAATAGCAATTATGTAAAACACGATTAAGAAGTTAAAACTGTTTCATGTGTAGCTGGAAATGGAACATAGAAGTTCAAATTCAAAGATCGTAACAAAATCTGATATATGCATAAACACAGTTGTAGAAATGAGAAATGTGAACGTACAATTTCATTTGGACGAGCTGGTTTATGATTTTGCATACATTAACAGTCTTATCGCTGGTGAAGTTACTGTCTCGGCGCCAGTGAGTTGCAAGAAATTGGCCCATATCCTCCATTAAACTACAGATGAAATAAAAGGGTTTTGATCTGTTCATAGATGTAGTTAACAATCTATGCCCTTAGATTTCAAAATGAAGCCACAAATTAAAAACAACAATGGTGTAAAGATTGATACTCGAAATTGTTTACTTGCAAGAAATTTATGTTTTGTTCTTGATTTCAATTCAGTTTTAACCAACTAGCGAAGCAAAAAAATGCTAATTTGGTTGTTGAATGCTTCAATGTATTCTTCTCACATAAGAGGCAAGATATATATTACAACTTTAACTTACAAGGCAAGAATAAATAACGAAGCCCATCCTAATTACAAGAAATCGAATAGGGAACAAATCTCGCTAATTACGTCAAAAGGTCAACTGACGACAACATCCCTTCTCAAGTTGGTGCATAAATGTCATTGATGCCCAACTTATGAGTGAGTTGTAGAACACTTGACTTGCAAAACTGTCATTTTTAAAATATCTGCCAGTTGATATTCTAATTTCACAAACGAAAATTGAATTATATTTGCATTGGATTTCTCCTTAATAAAATGTCTATCCACTTCAATATGTTTGGTTCGTCATGCTAAATTGGATTATGAGAAATATCATGGTAGTCTTGTTATCACAAAACAACTTTGTTGCAGACGTCGACTGACACCCAAGTTCTGTTAGCAACTTTGGAAGCCACAATAGCTCACATAATCCTTTTGTCAAACCTCTGCACTCTGCTTCTGCACTTGACAAAGCCACGACCTTCTGTTTCTTAATTTGCCAACTACAAAACTGCCTCCCACAAATGTAAAGTGACACACCCTGATCCCGATGTCTGGGGACATCGTGATGGCCATGTGCTGGCCAACACCCCGAGGGTGACACAAGCCATTTAATGAAAGCATATGCTGAGAATATGTAAAACATGCGTATAAAATGTATCAAAATAATAAAAGGTGACTATTCATTTCTGCGTGATAGTTATTGTTTTGAATTAGATTTTTGTTAGTTTCCTGACCCAATGATATAATTGGATTGAATTTGAACCATGATGATCAAGAACTTAGTAAGCATGTGTTGTGTGAAATTCCTTATTCTCTTGTTAGCCTTGTACATGTTTAATCATCTTTGAAAAACCAAATGCATATAGCCTTGTTGATGTGAAACTAAATTATGACTTAAAGCTTTGCATGTGAATATAGTGACCATATACAACCAATGTGAGTTTTCGAGCCTATTGAAAGTGTGCATTTTTCATACACTCATATTCTTTCATGTGTGATGAACTTATGTGACTTACATCTCTAGAACTTGCGTAACGATCTTTCAAAATGTTTGTCATTTGATTGCATGAACTTGAAAAGGATAGAGGCATTAGGTTTATCACCATGGCCTAAATGAGCATGTTTCCTAAAGAAAAATGAGCATGCTTCCTATGAGCATGTTACAAAGTTGTGTTGAAGAGAAGGAAAAAGGAGGAATCATGGTTTGCTTCTCAGTAATCATGGGTTTTGATGCACCGTCTAAAGAAAAGGTAGTCCATTGTTCATTTGACTAAAATCCTCACCCCATTTTTGGTGGCTTAGTTGGTTACTCTTGGTGGAATGCATATTGGGTATACAAGTAAGCAACGGCCAAAAACAAAACCAAGTTAATATTGGTAGCTTTGGTAAAAAAAGAGTCGATATGAGTGGTCGATATCGGTTGTGATTTCTCGGTTTTATTGTCCTCGGCCGTATAGCTCGGCTGAATCTCACTTTCGACCGAATCTTGGTGGTTACCCAGTCCTTGATTATTGGTGGTCTAATCATTAAGATAGACTGCATTCGGTCGAGTCCCACACATGTAGAAACATGATTATTTGGTCTTTGTGTAAGGCTGCACTTGTTGAGAGTGTAATTTCTCATTAGGTTGGAAGGTCGAGATAATATATGTACATATGTATATGTCCTCTTTGACTTTTGGGGTCGTCGACACGCAGTATGCATATACAAAGGGGACATGATATGTACTGCTGAGCTTGCATTTGGTCGAGGGAAAATAGTCATTGAGTCGACGACAGTAAAGCATTGGACAATATGCCCATTTGACATTGAGTCGACGACAGTAAAGCATTGGACAATATGCCCATTTGACCATTGGTTGTTTTTTGGTCAAAAGAAGCCATGACCATGTTTCTTTGGCGAGTTACCAATAATCAAAATTCGCCATGGCAAAGTTATTGTTATAAGCTGCTTAGCATGGCCGAGGAGTTTTGGCCGAATGAAATAAAGCTTCGGAGTTCGTACCTCCCAAGTTTGAAATGAAGGTGACTCAATATCATGTTTGGTGTCTTTCGGTTGACCTCTGCGTGGCCATTATGTGAGTCAAGGTTGGTTTTTCAAGGATGCCATTTTAGTAAGGATTTTGGTTATAAAAAAAAAAAGGGTATTAGTAACAAAGAAGAGAGATATGCTCGGCGATCCAAAAAGTATCTTGGTGTTACTCGTCTCCGCTTTAGGGATGGTATGGATAGCCGAATAACATGTCGAACGGTCGAAAACTATAGATAAATGACTAATTTCCTAAACCATTCGGCTTGCAAGCCGAAGCTCAAGGAAATTGGGGGGGGGGGCAATGTTTGGACCCAATTTTACATCATTGGCCCGAGTAATTGTGGCTGCTGAATGAGCAGAATTCTAGGCCGGTGGATGACTTTGAATATTAAGAGGCCGTAATTTTGCACAAACTTGGCCCATATACCCTAAGTCGTTCTATGAAAGAGGCCATATTTGAAATTAACATTTTATTAGGAATTTATTAAAATGATAATTATCTTATAGTTGCAGCTTGAGAGTCAAATAAATAAAAGAAGTTGCATTGTACAAGGACTTTGTGGTGATACATTGTGCAACTTGGAGGTGTGATCCAAGGATAAGACGGCATGAAGAAATGGGAGATGTGATCAAGTTGAATTTTTGCATGGTTCCAGCACGTGGAGGCCATTAAACATTTGGATCTGGATTGACTAGCACAAAAGTATTGAGATAATGATGGGGATTTTAATCAAGTTGGATAATTGCATGCAGTTGGGTCTGATCCATGCCAAAATGCGTGAAGGATTAGATGTGGATTAAGTTAGCATGTCCCTATAAATAAAAAGGTAGTGACAACAAGAGGAGCCCCTCCAATTCAACACACAAACTGCCCTGCGCAAACCCTTACTCTACGCAAAACCTCTCAACAACCTTGAGATTTCTATTTTCTTTTTCGCTGACACATCTTCAGTTTGGATAAACAACAATGTGAAGGCAACCGGCGAACATCTTCAGTTTGGATAAACATCACTATTTCCATAGAATCAGCCGACCACGAAACACATTCAGTTTGGATAAACAGCACTGCGACGAGGCCAACTGGTTATCTATCCAAGTCTCAGTCGAGAAGGATTTTCAAATCCTTATTGGCAAAGGTCATCTCACGAGCCTTTTCGGCGAAGTGAGGTGTTACGAATCACTAGATTTAGCGCATTGAATGTCCAGTTGTTTTATGATCGGATACTCACAAGTAGGCTTTAGAGTTCGGCATTCTGACGGCCAAACCACGTTTGCCATCAAGACATATATCTGTTTTAAGTATCTGTGTCCCTATACTCTGGTGTTAATTCGGTATGCTTATACTCTTACGAATATAATCACTGTGATCGAATCCGGCACCGGCGATTTGTGAACTTCACAGAACTAGTAGCCTTGTCTTTAGGCTCTAGAACCCGAAGGTTGAGGCGTGTTCCTTCCTCGGCCGCAATCGTGAGATTCAGAAGTCAGCAACGTACCCAACACAACATCAACTCATTTTACTCCCTTGCCGAGCTTAGCTGACGAGTTGGCACGCCCACATACAACTGATTGACGCAGTTAGTTCATTAGTTACTTGGCCTGCGCTCCACGTAGGCTTGGTAGTTTTTAGGGTCAACAGTTTTATGAAAGGTTTTAAGGCATGCTAGGGTTTTCGGCAAATCTATCACCTATTATGCTATTAGTTTTCATAAAACTTTGAGGGTTAGTATGTTGATAACTATTTCAGTATTATTTATATATATAACTTGGTCCACTCATGTTTGTTTTGCACCCCCTTAGGATATAGGAACGAGGCTTACGACCAGCGTTATGAGGCTTTCCCCTACTAGTGATATTGTGCCATCATCTCTGCTTTGACATCATTGTAATAACACCTTCTGCTGTATTCTGAATTAGATGTATGCTCTGAACATGTCATGCACTATCACTATCTTCACGCAGAAATGAATAGTCACCTTTTATTATTTTGCTACATTTTATACGCATGTTTTACATGTTCTCAGCATATGCATTCATTAAATGACTTATGTCGCCCTTGAGTGTCGGCCAGCACATGGCCATCCCCGATGTCCGGGGACATTGGGATCAGGGCCTGTCACTTTACATTTGTGGGAGGCAGTTTTGTAGTTGACGGAGTAAGAAACATAAGATCGTGGCTTTGTCAAGT